AGAGGGGGAGGAGAAAGAAAAACAAGAAGTGGGAGTATTGTCGACGTGGTCGAGAGGGCGGATGATACTCTCCGGCTGCCCATTCCGAGAGAGGGGTTCTGTTCGAGGTGTCCTGCCTCTAGCCTTTGACTCAATAGTCTGACCAACAAGGCAGTGGGAGATATGGAGGTTCGCTTGAGGGACTTAACCTGCAGCCTTTGGCTCAACAGATTGACCCACAAGGCAGTGGAACATATGGAGGTTCGTTTGAAGGACTCCACTCGGAGGCTTTGGCTCAATAGCCTGACCTGCAAAGTAGTGGGGAAGTCTGGCTCAGGAGTATGATTGCAGAGACTGAATAGGATCTGCTTGAGGCCCGTCATACAGTCTTTGAAGATTTAGAATAATGCACATGTTTTACGATCGTATTACGTTATGCACCTGCGACCACGGGCAGACGCAGGTGGGAGTTGGCGGGTTTGCACCAATTTGATCAGGGGCTGCCTGGCTTGAGGCTGGCGGTAGCAAACCATTGAGCACCCGAAGGTGCCCTCCCACGGTCAGAGACCATGCGTGGCGCTCGTGCTCTACGCCAATCGAGCTGCGAACTTATAACCCGTAGACCTGTTGTCTCCCATGGCTAGGAATTAAAGAAAGAGGGCCATCAACCTCTCCCTAACCTCCGAAGAGGATTGGATTGTGAGACATAGTCTGACCCATAACCACTGACCTGTCTGGTATGAGCGGCTCTGAAGGCCCTTGGAAAGTGCCACTCAGTATAGCTCAACGGGTCACAGGGGTACGCAAACCATCGCACGATGCTAAGTTCCAGTTTCGTTGCGATGGTAGGAAGCCATTGGTGAACACCTCGATCACGAAATAGATAAATGGAGAGATAGGATAACCCCGACGAACCACACTTCAGTAGGGAAGGCTGGGGAGGTACCCGTATGCCCTGAAAATACATGGAGTTTGCTGTACGGAGATTTAGGATCGGGAAGGAGTTCGTAAGGACCCTTTTCCACATCATAAACAAGTATGACCAAGCAAATCAAAGGCAGTCTTCAAGTTAGGAAAAGCTATTACGATGGGTTGTTCGTAAGAATGGTGGCGCTCAAGCAACCAGCACACTTCGTTGTAACAGAATCAAGCTTGATCTCCCAAGAATCGTCTCTCAAGAGGAGCGGTGAGCTCCCGCAGCATGATGCACCGTATTAGATTGGATATACTTGAAATCGGACAGATATTACGAAGCTTCATAGAGGACGTCTTTTGGGCTTGTTCAAAAATGGGAATGGCGAATCACAACAGCTAGTCCGAGAACATCTCCACCTCCAGCCAAGCAGTGTCGTACGCAGAAACCAAGCAATTGCTAGTGAGTCATCACCGTCCTTCAGCAACGATGATAGCTTATTTGGGGCAGGCGCTCGGCTGTGCCAAGCACCGTTCCTGTCGGAACTTGTTAAGTCAATGCCCCAGATTAGTTCGGGAGATCCAGCTATTCTGAGATACAAAACCGACTGAACTTCTCTTGAAAGTGGTCATTAAAGCAGAAAGAATACATAGATTGCGATATGTCAACATTTGGGTTGTTTTCATTGGTCGCATACAGAATACAAGCAAATACATATGTGATCATCGCCGTTTTCTAATCGACTTTACTGATAGTAAAGTGGTTGTCGGCCGGTGATCGATTGGTCTGCGCGTCTAGTTTGCAACCATAAGGTCACCGGTACGAATTCAGGTAAAGGTGGGCGTACTCGCGGTAAACTCAGCCGGCGCGCGACTTCTTGACCTGGAGTATGCAGACGACATTGCCCTCATCTGTGACAACTCCCAGAAGTGCCAAGCCGCGCTGGACAGATTAGCACTGGCTGTCAGCCGCTTTGGGCTTTGCTTTGCACCATCGAAAAGCAGTTCCTCCAATATTGGCAGGGATCGCGTCCTGCGTTGACCCTTGGTGGGGATCAGCTAGAAGTCGTTCGGAAATTCAACTACCTGGGAAGTTGTATCAGGGCCCTTGGGATTGAAGACGAGATCACGAACCAGATAACAAAAGCCCGAAGTGCTTTTGCTAACCTTCGCCACCTATGGCGGCGGCGCGACATTACTCTTGCCCTGAAGGGTAGAGTGTACAATGTAGCGGTACGTTCGACCTTACTGTACGGTTGCGAAACCTGGCCCCTAACATCAGCGGACATAAAGAGGCTAGTTACGTTCGATCATGGGTGCCTTCGCAGTTTGGCGTGAGTAACGAGCGTGTTCGAGGCCTTGTTTACGGCACAGAAAAAGGAACGGAACCGCTCAGTACCGTCATTTCACGCACTAGGCTCCGATGGCTGGGCCACGTGTTGTGCATGCCAGCCCACCGACTTCCACGACGTGCGTTGTTTGCTCACCGGGGATGTGGGTGGAAGAAGAGGAGGGGTGGCCAAGCGATGACTTGGTCTAGAGTAATGAAGGCCCTCACTACGGAGCTGGCTTCGGTTGGAGAGTCACGGCTTCCTGGTTGGGGTCCAAAAGACGGTGGGCACGTTTGGCTGGATACATTTGCTGACATGGCAAGGAGCCGACCTTAGTGGCGTTCCTACTCTAAGTTTCTTTGTCCCTGTCCATCCCTTTTAGCCTCCATCTCCATCTACGATTTCATTTCGTAGCGTAAAACATAATGATTTTCCCTCTGCCTAGTAGTCGGCTAGTAACTTACTGGAACGATGCCCATTGGTTGCTGGTAACTCAGCTTGCATGCAACTGTTGTGTTTATTTTCCTTTTCCTTTATGTATTGCGGCACAGTAGCTGAGGTGTTTCCCACCTCTAGCTGACGTGTATAATGATGATGGTAATGGTCACGGAGCAGCGAAGCACCGAGTATAATTTTTTATCTCAATTTTCTTCCTAACTATTATCTCAATCACAGGAACCATGCCTGGACAAATGCGTCGAACAATCCGGAACATTATTCGCACATTCACAGTGTCTCTAACCCCAGCGTTTTACGAACCTTGTGATCCACTAGTGAGCCGATCAATCCTGAGACTCACTTAAGCACTGTTTCGCAGTTGTACGAATCCCTCCAAACATAACCACTATTAACCATCCAGATCCAGATAAGTTGATCGAAGCCCTAAAATCCGTCTATTATTCGGATGACTTGGACAGCAAAAGTGATGGATCTCAAGTGCTCCTTATATTGCGTACAAGAGCCGACTGCCGAACGCAGTTGCTTGGCCGAAGTTCAAGAAAAATAGTAGTATAGTCACATAGTATATCAGATAGACATAGAACCAAACATAATCATGGAAAGCACGAAAAGAACACAGCATTATCGAACATTAACAGAAGGTGAGCAACACACTACAACTATTGTGCCGCAATGGAAAAAACTGAGAAGTTCATTAGTGCGTATAGCTATCCGCTGACACAGCAAAGCTGACCTGCAATGCGTACCAGCAGAGCTGATCTACGGCACAACACATAAGTTACCAGGAAAGTCCATTTCGCCCCACTCTAGATCGTGTATGTCACCGGTAAACTTCCCTCCCTCAATGCATGCGTGCGCTGCGCCCTAGACCTCATTGCGAGCAGGCCAGAGATGTAAAATCGAGCAATGGACTCTACTTGCACTCACAGTGACTCGCACAGAAGCAGTGCATCGTCCTCTTCAGTCTCCCTACATCGAACCCTTCAGAGTTCTCCAACGAACTCCTAAGCACTTCTCCTCAGACCAGAACGGTCACCAAATAACAGGGTCCATTGAAGATGCGCCTCCAACCTCATTGGGTACAACCGCACAGGTAAAATCACCAGCAACGGAATCTTCCGCACCAGGCACCCCAGATCCCTCTGTTACCCTTGACCCTCCGTCAACCCAGTCTCAGCCCCAGGTAACTGACACGCGCAGTAGACAGGTCAAACGTCCGCCCGCTTCTCCGATTTCGTTAACATTAGCTATACTCATTGACATGCGTACTTGCTACCTTTCATGGTACTCATGTGTTTTATTCATAAACGTTTTGCAAAGAGACACTGCCTCGTTTTTCATACGGTGCAAATCCACCTGTCTTGACCACGTCCCACGCTCCCGGAGTTTTACACTCTACGACCCAAGTCCTCCGAAAAATTGCGGCATCGCCTGGCTCGCCTGCTTGAAGCCTCAGGCCTCATCACGCTGGCTCTAAGCGACCGCCGCTCTCCCCTCTACTGGTGCTGATAACGACTAGTCTAGCCCGCGATCTCTGGGAAACCGTGCCCCAGTGACGACATCCGGGAGTCGTCGTGGGACGAGAACCGTTGTCCCCATGGACTGGGGTGCAGTGGGGAAGTGACACTTATCAAGCGCAACATCGGGTCATTAGCGGAGGGAATGTACTGTCGGCCTTGTTATGGACTAGCCAGTTTTCTGCAGTGCGATGAGCCTGCCCCGGCCCACCGACGATACACCCCATTCCACACCCAAATAATGGATAACAAAGAAGTTTGGATCCAGCGAACTCCACGCGTCCCCTTTTTGGCTGACTACGCCCACTACATTGCCAGCATACACGCCGTACACAATTTGGTTCCCGAACTGACATCCTATCGATGAATCCTCTCGTTCAACCTTCTAGGAGGCCCCTGTAGTGAAAGTAAACTGTTTACGCTTTTAGTATTTTGTAACATTGGATTCTAAGCTTCCTTATGTCCTCCGATGTTAATTTATTTAAATGATGGTACATGCCAATCCCTTGCTATTCCAGTGAGTGATGTTTGACTATTGTCTATCTGCTTACCTGAACTACATTCTTTGCAGCTGTAGTCAATACAAGTCGATTCGAGCCGATCTAACCGTCCTCCCTATTTCCATACTCGGTACGCCTTTGGTGATGAGTGTCTGAGTAGCATACCACATCTTCGTTTGCATTTTTTCGAATACCTTACTGAGTGGTGTTTTAAAATATTCCCCACTTCCCGCTAACGTGTAGAATGATGAAGGGCCGAAGGCTAAAATAAAAAATGGCTACCTGTACAATCTCACAATGGATCAGGTCGGCGATTTTCGAGGGGCTGTAGTCGCGAGAAGCAAGCCGTCTATATAAAACAGCGTTGTCGGTGCGCAAAACAAAAACTGCATCAATCCAGCGTTCGGGAAAGAAGTCGCAGGAATGATAATCCAGAATCTGAAATAAAACCGATGGCGCTTTGTGATGAGTACCTGACCACCACGAGACATCTGTTCCTCGAGTGCGTCCACGACGCGATCCTCGTCAAGAATATGACAATCATTTTCGTCGTCATAACCATCATAAAGGTTGCGCTCCTTTGCAAGATCGTTGACATTAGTGTAGTCCAAATTAGTAGCTTCGGCTACAGCCTTGGCAACAGTGGTTTTCCCGGTGCCTGGGGTGCCGGTAATCAGGAGGTTGGGGAGCGTCCTTCTAGTTGACATTAGTAAGCGTCTACTGGGTAAATAAACGCGGATTAATCAGTTCAAGATTTCTAGTCCTGCCTGAAGCAGATACACCTGATTGTTCAAGCGACGAACCAGGTCAGACAAAGTATTCAGTCGATCGTGGGTGGAGGAGTGAACTTTTTCCTGACTGACTGTAACTTGGATAGTTCTAGTCAGTTCTTCCGTGATACCGGAGGTCTTGTTAACGTAGTTAAGTAGATCGTAGAGCTCCTGAACAACACTTGTGAACTGGTCCTGAGGAGTTGGGTTAATCCGAATACCAGCAGACCGTATATGGGACATGCGCGCAGAGCGTCGGATCCGCCAAACACGATCAATTATCTTTAGGCAGTGTGATTGTGGTACACAAGGTTGTATGATGATAAATGAAAATTTTGGGCCTTCCGACGCATGTGTGTATTTATTACTATATTAACGTCGTTGTTAATATGGTGGGATGTGGATTAGAAAGCAATAAAGTGAACGCTTTAAATGGGTTACGGTGGTTATCATTTTCCCGCTTCTAGCGCCAGCAGCCATGTTGGAATAACTCTTGTGCATTCCGAGGTATCGTCAAGGGTCCGTACGCGGACTTTTCGTCAATGAATGAGGAGCTGAAACTTTTTCAGATGGAAACGGCGACATCGTTCATTCGTCGGAGCGTTAAAACTGCGAAAGCTTACCAATGGGAGACTGGACAGGTGCTACCGGAATGATGCCAGTACCTATATATTCAGTTTGTGTGCGTGCATAGTAAGCGATCGAATGTTGCTGGAAAGCGGTAAGTGTTGCGTATCCGCCTGATGAATATATTTTAACAGGTACCGGTGTTACAATTGCCCTGCGCGGTTCTCAGCGGTTTTTAAGGGGGAATGTTACGAGATTGGAAACGCCTGTCTTTGGCATTCGCACAGTTTTCACGTGGGGAAGCCTTGGCTGTAAGGCGGAAATCAGCGGCTAACAGCGGATCAGGAAAGCATGGTACTTAACTTAATGAAGACGTTTCGTCGCACGCAGGAGATGCGTGCATTTGTGCGTCTTCAATGTAACATTCGTTTAACGAGGCGCGATTTGTATGACATACGGCGGCGTCATCGTAACGCTTGTGTCACGGAAGTGGAGGAGGTTACGCAGCTGTTGCGAAGAAATGGTCAGGAAACTGACTAGATTGGGTAACGTCCCAGTTAACGCCCCAAACCCTCGACCGCGCTTACTTCGTGTAGTCCTATCCACCCCGGAGGAACGCAACGCGCTGTTGCGGTTTGCCTTCAAATTGAAGGGTACTAATGTTAGCGTTCAGCCAGACCTCCCATTAGCGGATAGGCTGAAGCTAAAAGAGGCCATTAAAGACCTCAAAACCAGGCGAGCGGCCGGTGAACAAGGTCTCCGGTTGGTGGATATTCGGGTGGTCAGCCGGCGGTCTGTTTCCGACCTACCAGTGCCAGTACTGGTAGCGCACGACCCAGGGCTGGACATTACGAGTACCTTCAGGTAGTGCTAAGCAATGTGCGCAGCCTAAGGAATAAGATGTGCGAGATAGGTCTGCTTGTAGATGGGTCTCATCCCGATATACTTGCATTCACTGAAACGTGGCTGTCTCAGGACATCACGGACGGTGAAGTACATCTGTCTGACTACGCACTATTTAGATGTGATCGCTTCGTTGGCCGACAAGGCGGGGGTGTTGCGCTTTACGTTAGCTGTGGACTTGACGTTTTACGTACCTACATGTTTCAGTCGGCAGATAAAACTGTCGAAGCTCTGTCGTTAGTGATTAGCACTTCCTCAGCTCAACTTACAGTTGTACTTGTGTATAGAAGCCCTGGGAGTGCGTCCAAAGAGGTGCTTGACTTTATTCGCTCCCAATCCGCAAACAGGTGTTTGATACTGGGGGATTTCAACCTACCAGAAGTTTGCTGAGCAGATCTTTCTTGCAACTCGGCGGAAGGTACTTTCGGTGCAGATCTTCTTGAGCTTACGCTACAAGTACCGTTGCATCAGTTCGTGGACCTCCCCACTAGGTACATGGATGCCCAACTACCGTTTTTGGATCTAGTTTTTGCCAAGTCACTAGACTTCGTAGGTGACATCACTTACAGCTCTCCCTTAGGTGTCAGTGATCATGTTTGTTTATCATTCAGGTGTACTCTGAACAGGCGTCACCAGAGCATCGCTAAGCCATTTCCAAACATATGGCGTGCTAACTATCAGGCAATGCGTATCAAGGCTTCTGGGTTGCGTTGCGAAATCTCGGTGGTTGATACGGTTCAGGCGGCCTGGGATAAATTTAAGTCTTATCTCACGGAAGTGTCTATTCCCTACATCCCGCTTGCGAGGAGAAAGTAGACACGAGCGCGGCCGCCGTGGATAGATACCATTGGCAAGTACCTGCTCCAGAAGCGTTCTAGGTGCTGGAGGACCTACCGTGCGGCTCCATCAACTAGCACCTATGATAGATACCGCGAGGCTAGAAATAGGTGTAAACAACACTTAAGGAAAGCTCGGCTGTTGTACGAAAAGGAATTGGCTGATGGAGCTTCGGAAAATCCGAAGAAGTTCTTCGCTTATGTTAAGAGACGCTGTAGTTCAAATTCGGTAATCCCAACTTTGATGCGGGCCGATGGAACTTGTGCGTATGCGGACTCAGAAAACGCTTGTTTACTTGGGGAGCACTATGCAGGGGCTTTTGTACTTGAGGCCGCGTTGACTAGCGTTGAACTTGTCCCCAGATTATCTGAGGTTTCGTATTTAGCTGAGCTTACTGTGGTGAAAAAGCAAGTCCTTAAACGGCTGCAAGCACTGAACCCTTCCAAAGCAGCTGGACCTGATTCAATTCACCCGAAGCTTCTGCATGAGTTGGCGGTGGAACTAAGTGGACCGCTGACGATAGTGTTTCAGAAGTCACTTGACAGCTGTACATTACCTTCTGAATGGAAGGAGGCTGTCATCTGTCCTATCTTCAAAAATGGCGACAGGAGTCTGTCAGCCAATTATAGGCCAGTCAGTCTGACTAGCGTCGTGGTCAAACTGCTTGAAAAGCTGGTGAGAGATTCGTTGGAAGGTCACCTGAATAGATTTAATCTACTCAGTAGTGCACAACACGGATTCCGGAAGGGGTTTTCGTGTCTTACGAATTTGTTGGTTGCTCGTGAAGCTTGGGCCGAGGCAATGAACAATGGCCACGTAGTGGATGTGCTTTTCGTAGACTTCTCGAAAGCATTTGATAAGGTACCGCACTTGAGGCTATCACAAAAGCTGAGCTCCTACGGCGTATCTGGCCGCGCCCTTCACTGGGTATCTGAGTTCTTGCAAGGAAGAGAGCAGTGTGTACGTGTGGGTCGCAGCTTATTCTTTAGGCAAGCGGTCCTTAGCGGTGTCCCACAGGGCTCGGTCCTTGGACCGATGCTGTTCTACATCTACGTAAACGATCTCCTTGGAGAGCTTGGGGTATCATCCCTATTGTTTGCTGATGACCTTAAGCTATGGAATGTTGTAAATTTGCCTGAGGGTACCGAGGCCATCTAGCATGCCTTGGATAGACTGTGGGACTGGTCTACTTTGTGGCTATGGCCCATTAAGCAGGCTAAGTGTTCCGTCTTTTGTATAAAACCAACTTCCTCTCTTCGAGCTACGTACTCGGTGGGGTCGAACGCCCCTTGTCTCTAACTAGGTAGACCTAGGTATCGTCCATTCCCAGCTTTGCATTCTGGTGACAACTGGAAGAAGGCCGCAACTGGGGGTTTCAGAATGTTGTAGTTGATACGCCTTTCTTTCGGAAGCGCACGAAATCGAATTGTCTGGATGACTAAAACACACCTAGTCATCGCGAGAATAGGCAATATTCCTAAGTTGATTATGTAAAGAATATTACATTTTAATAAGATTTTACGCAGACAAACGATAACCTCCAGATCACTAGATAGCCACCCTTCTAGCACGGAACCATTATTGAGCCTTCTAGCTCAGAACTGTCCGTCGCGGGCCAGCTTCTACGAAACAAGGCGGTGGAACCTTGTGCAGCTTTTGGGGGTGAACAAGGCGTTCAGTCCCTAGAGAGCTCCCACCCATGTCCTCCTTCACCGTGCCGATAAAAGAAAAGGAAGAGAACGTTCGTTTCATACGATTACTTGTGTTTGAACAAGAGTGTGTGTGCTCCGGTTGGCAACATGCAAAGTAAGAAACAGAAGAAGTCAGGCATGCAGAAGAGGCGACAGCATCTGACGGGAAAAGCACTTAACGAATAGAAAGCGAACCATCAACAAATAAGCCTTTTTATCGGTTTCCAACTCGTCTTCGTTTTTGCTTTTGGTTTTCAAAGTCCTGTGCAATGTTTTTAGGCTCCTAAAACCGATTGCGTTTGTTTTACGGTTTTCTATGGGTACGGAAGCGAATGAAGACCTGAAAATGCTGTTAGAAGCAAAACGCCAAGCTAACATTCAATGTCAGTTGTAACCTGTCCGTGCGGTCGCAAAAACTGTCCTCCTGCGTTATTCGCCTCCAAATCTTTGGATTTATTCTCACAGAGACCTACGTGCCAGCATTCGATTTGGCTCCGCGAGCTCCTTTTACCACTGTTCATCTATTGGATCTATCATTCACGGATAACCAAAAAACTGTGCTCTTGGAACTTCGAAGCCAACCGTATTTGAAGCTTATCGGATGTTTTATTTTTCCTCCTTTCGCATAAGAACTTTTGTGGTCTTATTTTAAAGATCTTTTTGAGAGTCATCAGATCAGCTTACTACCATTCCTTCAAGTCGCTCTACAAAGCGATAGTCGTCAATTTGCTCTGCATTTGGAACTGCCACTGTCGTCACTAGACAGTATTTTCCAAGTCACCTTGCTTTGCCTCAGTCGCTTTGTCTCGCATCGTTGTCTACCCGTCTGGATCGATAGCACGCACATCGCCTGGACCTGCTGGCCTCAAACCAGCGCCGATCGCCACGCAGCGGTGCGTCAGTATCTCCATCCACTTCCTACCCCTACTGAGAACAGGTCTCGTATGAAAAACAAATGCGAATCATGTGTTGAAGTTTTGAAAAGTGGTCTGGTGTGTACCATGTGCTTGAAAACCTACCACACTACCAGCCTTGGGAAGGAGTCGACGAAAACCAACACCGCAGACGCGTTTTGGTTCTGCCAAGTATGCGAGTCTATTCCATTTGTTAGCTATCTGTGCTACTGAAGAGGTGTGAAAGACTAACCGAAGCGGTCGAGCAACTGGTGAGCGACAGAGTTACACCCATGGGATGGAACGGGCCTGCACTTGTGAGTGAAAATAACACCCCGAACTCCCTAGTCAG